AGTTGAAAGTTACCTTTGATGATTACAAATCAGACACAATCAAAATTCTCAGTACAAGAATGAAACAGATGGCTGATTCATCAATTCTAGTCTACTATAAAATTTCTCTGTTTCCAATTATTCTAATACTTACACCTATTTACAAAACCTCAGGTTTCATGAGCTATCTGAGTTTGATGACACAAAGAGAAGTTGCCGAAGGCGTTTGGCGGGGCATAATGAGCGACGCCGGAAGAGCTCATCGGAATCACCCCATGGAGGAGGAGAAGGGTGTAGTAGCCAAAGATTGGGCAGTGAGTTGAACGAAAATCACTGTAGTAGGCAGGCAGACGATAGAGGCAGAACTCTGATAGCTTTTCCTGGGAATCCAACTTACAAGCAATTCCACATCAAATGATTTAGTTGTTGATTCTCATGAGGCTTACTCTCTTCTGTCATATTCTATTGAATCTATCTCCTGCTACAAATGATTCTAGTATTTTATCTTATGCTCTGTTGTTGATTTGTGTCCAGATCAAGTACATAATTAAGTTGGGTCATGATTTACTTCTTGTTGTGGGATAGTTGGTTTACACTTGTATATGTACCTCTGAGGATCTGATTCCAATAATAACTATCTTTATTAGAACAAATTTATGGTGTTTACATGAATATGATTAGAGACTATTTTCGATTGCATTTTATACTTCCTACTCATAATGGGAGTGAGGCTCACACCAATTGATTATGTGAGTCTCACTCCCAATGTGAGTAGGCTAGGGTTCACAAATTGAAATGGTCCAATTCAGAGTGAATTAGGAACCAAACTATTGGCTTGAGAAAAAATTTGAATCGTAAGTGAAGTATTGAGCTTATATAATCTGACCAAAATTGAACTATAGAAATCAATTTGGTTTAGTTTGGTTTTATGATTTTAAATTTTTTATATAGGCGTATGATATGTATTTTTTAATAGCAAACACTCTAGTAACCATTAGTATAGTTGAGTTAGGAGGAATTTTTTCAATTTTGTAGTAAAAATTGGTTCATTCTTGTTAGTACCTTTTATACTCTTTGAATTTTCATCAAATTTTTTGATGAATGATTTGATGAAAAAATTACTTTATCTTGATTTGATGAATACTTGAGGAAATGATTGGAGTTGATAATGGTGAAAAGGATTGGAAATGCTGTTAACTGGTTGATTCCTTTGTCTTGAAGGTTAAAAACAATTACTAGAGTTGCCTGACTTTTCTTCGATTTATTACAATTTGTTACTGTATTAAAAGTTTCCGTATGTTAATGTTTGATTGCCGAGAAAATGAAAGATAACAAATGACAATTTGAAATTCTTAGTGATGATTGAAATAGGAGTGGCACATGTAAGAATCCTTTATATGTATATTTTCTTGCGACTTTTTACACAATCAAATAGAGCATTAGCACCAACTTTGCTGAAAATGCAAATTTTTCTCAATTGGACACGTCATATTCATGTTGTAAAAAGTGGAGGAAAAACTTATGCCAGATTCACCAGTAAATTGATGATATAGATTGTTAAAATCAAAATGGGACATGGTTTGGAAAAGGTTTCTAAGGCCACTTGTTTGGTGAGGTAACTAATTGAAAATGAACCTGGTGAAAGTTTTTTTATTATTTTTTTGGGGGGTCTTGGGATGAACCGAAAATTCAAACATCTTAGATTTGATTTCTTTTTGTGTTGTGTCCGATCTTAATTGATACCCGTTGTTTACATGTGTCTAACGTTTACGTTGGGATGCTCATTGGCAACAGAAAAAGTACAATAAAATAATAATCTTTTTCAGTGGATTAAGGAGAGGCTTACCAAACATGTTTACTATGATTTAGGCGGCCTATTTATTTTGTTTAGATGTGAGAGAAGCGTTGGTTCATTTAACATGTTTACTATGGTTTAGGTAGCCTAAGGCTTCATTTGGTCATGGCTTAAAAAACTAATTTATTGGCTCAAAAAACTCATTTTGCCAAAAAAACCTTAGCTCTGGTCGAGTCATGGCTTAAGCTTCCTTTGCCTGTATTTTCAACTGAAGTTGAAAGTTACCTTTGATGATTACAAATCAGACACAATCAAAATTCTCAGTACAAGAATGAAACAGATGGCTGATTCATCAATTCTAGTCTACTATAAAATTTCTCTGTTTCCAATTATTCTAATACTTACACCTATTTACAAAACCTCAGGTTTCATGAGCTATCTGAGTTTGATGACACAAAGAGAAGTTGCCGAAGGCGTTTGGCGGGGCATAATGAGCGACGCCGGAAGAGCTCATCGGAATCACCCCATGGAGGAGGAGAAGGGTGTAGTAGCCAAAGATTGGGCAGTGAGTTGAACGAAAATCACTGTAGTAGGCAGGCAGACGATAGAGGCAGAACTCTGATAGCTTTTCCTGGGAATCCAACTTACAAGCAATTCCACATCAAATGATTTAGTTGTTGATTCTCATGAGGCTTACTCTCTTCTGTCATATTCTATTGAATCTATCTCCTGCTACAAATGATTCTAGTATTTTATCTTATGCTCTGTTGTTGATTTGTGTCCAGATCAAGTACATAATTAAGTTGGGTCATGATTTACTTCTTGTTGTGGGATAGTTGGTTTACACTTGTATATGTACCTCTGAGGATCTGATTCCAATAATAACTATCTTTATTAGAACAAATTTATGGTGTTTACATGAATATGATTAGAGACTATTTTCGATTGCATTTTATACTTCCTACTCATAATGGGAGTGAGGCTCACACCAATTGATTATGTGAGTCTCACTCCCAATGTGAGTAGGCTAGGGTTCACAAATTGAAATGGTCCAATTCAGAGTGAATTAGGAACCAAACTATTGGCTTGAGAAAAAATTTGAATCGTAAGTGAAGTATTGAGCTTATATAATCTGACCAAAATTGAACTATAGAAATCAATTTGGTTTAGTTTGGTTTTATGATTTTAAATTTTTTATATAGGCGTATGATATGTATTTTTTAATAGCAAACACTCTAGTAACCATTAGTATAGTTGAGTTAGGAGGAATTTTTTCAATTTTGTAGTAAAAATTGGTTCATTCTTGTTAGTACCTTTTATACTCTTTGAATTTTCATCAAATTTTTTGATGAATGATTTGATGAAAAAATTACTTTATCTTGATTTGATGAATACTTGAGGAAATGATTGGAGTTGATAATGGTGAAAAGGATTGGAAATGCTGTTAACTGGTTGATTCCTTTGTCTTGAAGGTTAAAAACAATTACTAGAGTTGCCTGACTTTTCTTCGATTTATTACAATTTGTTACTGTATTAAAAGTTTCCGTATGTTAATGTTTGATTGCCGAGAAAATGAAAGATAACAAATGACAATTTGAAATTCTTAGTGATGATTGAAATAGGAGTGGCACATGTAAGAATCCTTTATATGTATATTTTCTTGCGACTTTTTACACAATCAAATAGAGCATTAGCACCAACTTTGCTGAAAATGCAAATTTTTCTCAATTGGACACGTCATATTCATGTTGTAAAAAGTGGAGGAAAAACTTATGCCAGATTCACCAGTAAATTGATGATATAGATTGTTAAAATCAAAATGGGACATGGTTTGGAAAAGGTTTCTAAGGCCACTTGTTTGGTGAGGTAACTAATTGAAAATGAACCTGGTGAAAGTTTTTTTATTATTTTTTTGGGGGGTCTTGGGATGAACCGAAAATTCAAACATCTTTGTTATAGAGAGTACCTGATAAAATTATGAAGTTCCTGTTGCTGCAGCAATCAACCAGTTGAAATACTTCTGGGTTCCAGATGCATAACAGGCCACCAGTAGCTCTTGCCGAATCAACTGCCATGAAATCCATTTGATCTCTGCCCCAGATTGATCTAACAAATTTTTCATCAATTGTGGATATCTTAGTTTCTTGTAGTAGCACCATATCAACCCTTCTTTCACAGAACACTTGTTTAATCTTCCTCATTTTCCCAGGCCTTCCTAACCCTTTTACATTCCGAGAGATAAGCTTCATAAAAAGAACATTTTTCAACGCCTAAAACCCCCGGGGCAGCTGCTTAACAAGCATCCCCACCCCTAATCCTCATTTTTTCTTTGTCATTGACTTCCAAATCTATTAGTTTGTTGAGGACAACATTGTCATTCCCTTCACAGTTCACACCAAGAATACGCCCAATTTGGAGTGATGCTTCAGCCTTAGTGAGTAATAATCTCCTACTATTTGCTTCAGATGCCGCTGAGAGTGAGAGGGCTGCCACCGCCGACCGAAACACTGCGCCTTTCTTCAAATTTAGAGAGGTTCCCACCATTGATTTGTCCCTTTGGAGACTACCTTTTTTCTTATGATGATTATTAGGGAGATCGTGATTTTGCACCCTCTGGATGGCTACCCTCTTCTGAATTGATTCTGTAGAAGAACCCAAAATCTCGCTACTGACCTCTCTTCCATTTTGGGCTATTGGTTCTTCAACAATACAAGGTTGAATAGAGTCTTCTAAGTCAGTTTGGGCCTCCACTGTTTTAGTTCCAAGTGGTCTGTGGGTTTGGGTTTCCACATCATTTAGTTCATGGGCTTTAGTCAAGACAACCTCAATGTTAAGCCCAGGCCTTAATAAATCAGATCCACTTAGACTTTTTAAGAGGCCTGGGTTACTAAAATCACCATCAACAGGCCTATTCACCCCATTTTGAACGTTGATAGAGCTCATCAACAGAGCTACCTCCCTACTCCCGCATGCGCCCCCAGAAATTGCTTTCCCCATGCCGCTGACAGTTTGAGCCACCACAGATGTGCTCTTACAGCTAGCCTCCCCTTCCCTGCCATTACAATCATCATTTCTTGGGTCACTACACCTTACTGCTACGTCTCCATCATTGTCCACCTCATTGCCTACTAGTGTCTCCACGTCATCATCACCATTTTCTTGCTTGCTCTCTACTTCCACCCTCCGGGTAACCTTATCCCCAAGAGCTATGATTGACACTAACACCATGTTGATGATGGAAAATACAGTGTTTATTCACCACATTCGCAGTAACAATCTAATCTTCGCCAACTTTTATCGGATAAAGTACCCCTTTGCAATCCAAATTGATTGTTTTATTAATGGATTCCATGCACTTGGTGACTATTCGAACCTTGCCGCAAATCAGGTTTTCCATATTGGATGTATCATCAGCAAGACCAGTCACTTCCCTCCATAATCTGCCTATTGAATAGAAGGAGTTGTTGTTCCAAATGTTTAGGGGCACCCCATAACAGCTCAACCAGACATCTCTTTCTTGTGCAATGGACATCCCCTGTTTCCATTCTGTAACTGATTCAGCCCAATCCTTAACCCAAACCTCCATTAGCTTGAGTTTTTCATGCATGTTTTCCACCGATGGAAAGGATAGAACTATGTCTCTACCCCCTCATTCTCGAACCTCAATATCCTCCATGCCTCTAGACCTCAACTCTGTTTTGAAATCTGCCCCACAGTACAGCGGCTTTAATCGCACAATGGCACTGGTGTGCAACCATCCATTCCCTACTTCATAAACTTTTATAGTTAAAGTTGCATTAGTGAATGACCCTTTCCCACTTACTACCTGGGCAAAGGATTCTTTACCTTTTAGCTTCTAAGACACCGTTCCCGTACCTCCCATTTCCTTTCTTTGGATTGAACTCTGTAAAGGCCTTTTCTGTGCTTCAACACGATGAACAAACTCTGCAACTTTCACTGTTGTTGTCACACCACAATCCAGTTGCTTTCTGGATTGCCATGTTTGCTGCGATTGAGCAATTATATCTCACGAATCCAAACCTGGAGTGCGTCATCTTCCTTCTTTTATGTGGTATGAAAACGTCCTACACCACTCCGAAGTGAGTGAACAAAGTATACAACCCTTTTGGGTCCATTGACTCTGGTAAATTATCCACAAAAACCGTATGGATGCCTGAATCCCACCTCTGGTGTTCATGCCCTACACCTCTATGCTTGCGTACCACTGGGTCTCCAGCCACCTGCTTCCATGCCTTGTTTTTCTTAACCCTTCATATTAATATCTCAATATAGTATAAAAGATTGAAATTATATTCAATGTTAACTATTTAAGGAAGTAGAGTTTTAAAATATTCAATGGATGATTTCGTATAAGAAAATCTACATGATATTTTACATTGCTCTATATAATATTTTTGTTTTTAACAAATTGTTTATCTCTCTTGAATGGCTTTTCAGAATATTTTGTAAATCTCTTTATATATTATTAATTCGAGTAAGAAAAATTCTTTAGAATTTTGTGAGTTATGGCGTTCTTCCTACCTCTAGAATCTCCTTATTTGTTTCTTAAATTGCTTAAAAGTGCATGTGTCACTCAAAATTTTATTTTCTGGTCATATTATTTAAGTTAGTACAAATATTATTTTAAATAATGTTGTTTTTATATTATCCATGAGATAAAATTTAATTTTAAAGTCATGGCTATTATTTTTAATTTTGGTAATAAATAAAATAAAATAAATAATTGAAATAGATTTTTATTTTGACTTGGATGATAATTATCATAAAGTGTGTTTATTAATTTTATAAATGAGTATTGATGTTATGCATTTGTCTATCTCATTTATGTTGAAAAACACACCGATAAATATTTTAAAATTATTAATTCAATGTGGATATTATGGTTGACATGATAATTTTGGTTAATGTACGTAACCACATATTAATTTTTTACAAAATTGTGAAATCAATTTAAATATATTATGCTTGTAACTTTGGAAGAAAGTTGAGTATTTGAGCGTCATAATTGGACTGTAATATGTTAATATGTTTAAATTATACAAGTGTTTTTATGATAAAATATTTTTAATTACTATGTATACTTGTGTGTAATTTACATACGATATTAAAAATATATAAATCTTTCTGTATACTCAATTACAAGTGTTAAAGTTAAAAATATTTTTAAAACACTTTTGAATTGTGAACTAGTAGAAAATTTGGTATTGTACAGAATTAAAAATTTTATGGTGCTTTGAAATTAAAATAAGACCTATAGCTATTTGTTTTTGCTTTGTAAGTTGTCAATGGTTTTATTATCTTAATTTTGAGAATCTTTTTAAGCTTAAAAGGTGAACTTTTTAGATTGGTGAATAATTTAAAACTCAAATATATAAATCTTTCTGTATACTTGTATGTATTATAATAAATTGGTCCGTTCATTCTCACATAGAGAACGTGAAAGTGCAAGTAGAACCTGAAGTGTCCATTCAGTTTATTGATATAAGTTGAACATGTATAACACATACAACCTTCTAAACATTGTCATACAATTAAAAGATCCTTGTGATTATATTATTTTTCTAAATGAGCAATATCAAAAGATTGAAGAGATGATTGTTATGCATGATGAAAATATTGGCAATTTGTAATATGATAAATGAATTGATACAAATTATTAATTAGGTATGAGATTATGTTATATTTTTAAATTTTTTGAAATCTAATGAGTATTTTTATAGATAAATAAATAAATACAAAGCTATTGCAAGAGGCTGTGATTTGAAAATGGTATTGTCCTTACCAATGTCATAAAGATAGGTTTATAATGATTATAGTGGTATCATGACATTTTTATCTATTACTTCGCCAAATAAAATAAATTTGATTTGTCAGTTAAACAAATTTATCTATGATCTCAAACTGATTTATGAGCAATGGTATTTAAAGGTTCACCAAAGACTATTACTTGACTTTATGGATAATACTGTTAATTTCACTACAAGAATCTATACTTTTAGCGACCAATATAAAAGTTGGAAGCTAAAAGTTACCTTTTGGCGACCAAATATTAATTAGTCGCGAATGATCATTATTTTTGGCGACCAAATATGAGTTGGTCGTAGAAGGTCATATTTTGGCGACCAAAAAATGAGTTTGTCGCAAAAAGTGGTATGCTTTTGGCGACCAACTACAAATTTGGTCGCAGAAGGTCACATTTTGCCGACCAAAAAATAAGTTGGTTGCGGAAGATCAAAAATAAGTTGGTTGCGAAAGATCAAAAATAAGTTGGTTGTGGAATTGGCGACCAAAATTTTAGTCGCCAAAAACTTATTTTCCCCGATCAAAAATATTTTAGTTGCTGTATATTGAGTTTTGGCTACCAAAACAATTTAGTTGCCGAATGGAAAATAATTTTTTTTTTTTCTTTGGCGACCAAAAATTTGGTCGTCGAAAACTTATTTTCAGCAACCAAAAAAAAATTAGTCACCAAATTAATACTTTTAGCGACTAATATTTTAGTCGTCGTTGATTGAGATTTGGAGACTAAAAAAGTTTGTCGGTGAAGGTACCTTTTCTGCAACTAATCTGGTCTTTTGGTCGCCAAAAGTTTGGGAGTGAAATTTGAAACGTGGAGGCGGGAATTGAAAATTTCGGAGCCAAAAAAAAAAAAAAAATTAAAAAAGAAAAACAATCAAAAGCTTAAGTCCCTAATTCATTCTCACAACCAACCCTGCCCTAGTCTCTCTCTCTCGCTCGCAGTGGCGACAACATCGACGTGTGCAGTACCCCCTTCGGCGTCTAGGTAACCCTCCTCCTCTCATGTCCTCTCATTCTTTTCTATTGCTCTTGTAGACGCTCACAATCTCTCTCGTAGACCGGCGTTTGCAGATCTCCCAACCCTCTCACTCTCTCGTAGACGTATATTGAGGTCGGAGATCCTTCTAGATTATTGCTAATCTAGAAGGATTTGGATCTGTCGGAGTTTGATTGGCCTCCGGTGGGACATTTGTTGGATGAGAAAGTTATCATCTCGGAAATACGATGAAATGGGTTACATTATTTAAAGATTTCAAAGAATAAGTCGTGTCTTTCTCAGCCTCCTTCCTCTTCTTCTTCATCTTCCTCGTCTATTAACCAAGACAACATTGTCAGTTCAACCACACAAGACTCATCTGCATCTTCATCGTTTTCAAGGTTTGTTTTATCCTACTATCTAATTATTAATGGGTTTTATGTTCTTTTGTAATGCCCTAAATTCAATTTCACTGAATGATTTTTACTGGGTTTTGTATAATAGTGATTAGTTGTTGTTGAGAGATGTTTGAATCTGCAAGTGTTTGATTAATTTACTCACTGATTAGAACAAAGCTATCAACTGAAAAGTGTTAGGGGTTTCTAATAGATGAAAAGGCATGAAAAGGGGGAATAAAGCGAAAATGAGGGTGTTTGGGTTTCTAACTTCAATTATCCACTAAAGTTAGCAAGGACTTTTAATTAACTTGAGTTTATAAATTTCATTATCAAGTAGTGGTTTCTTATTAAGTAAAAATTCGTGATTTATGAAGTAGTGGTTTCTAATTATGAAATATTGGTTCATTTTCATTATGATTCTATGGGTGGTTTCCATTCTATTGTGTTAATTGGGACATTGGTTCAGTCTTTTATTTGTTTCGTTATTGTTATTATTTTTGGTGAAGTTCTGTTGTGAATGTAGTTGTTATTAAGGACCTGTGTGTTACCATCCCGAGAAAAGCAAGCGTTCTTTGCGGTCATTTGGATTTGACAATATCTCTATTGAACATGTATTTTGGAATAATTTTTTGGTTTCCTTTTGTTTTGATTAGCCTCATACTTGAAAAATGCCTTTGCATGATTAAGAAGGCGAAAGGTATAGGTGTGAATGGGCAAAGATGAGGTGCCCAGCCTCTTAGAGCACCTAGCTAGACTTGAGACACATGCATATGAATTTTTCTAGTCTTATAAACATTTCCAAGCCTGAGGCCTCATAAGTAGCCTAACTAAGCTGGTTCGTGACTTTTAGGCTTAAGCCAAAGTTGTATTACAATTTCCGTCCAATTATGCAAGTTTGAACCTTTATAATGTAACTTATTGTAGGCACTTGACAACCTACCACATGTCCATTAACTTATTGTTTCGTTGAGCTCTAATTGATTCTTGATCCTTTTTTAGCCATTTAATTCAATGCCCTTACAAGTTGCTAGTTTTGGTGGATACCTCTTGGTTGAAGACATTTTAACCCTCTCCTTTGCTCCAAGAGATTCACATAAAGCACAAATACAATTTGCATTGGAATGAGGAATACTAGCATTTGTTGCCATGCTTGGTACTCGCAGACTTCCATTTCCCACTTCCTCATTTGACTTGGTGCATTGCTCTCGATGTTTGACCCCTTTTACAGCATATAGTAAGATCTCTATAACTCGTGTGCCTCTCACATTGTACACTTCATTTATTGCTTCGGTTCTTATTATAAACAATGTCATACTTTGTAGATGCAACATATTTTATTGAAGTTGATAGGTTACTTCGCCTAGGAGGGTACATAGTCATTTCTGGCCCCCCTATACAGTGGCCTAAACAAGATAAGGAATGGGCAGATCTGCAGGCAGTGGCTAGAGCATTGTGTTATGAGCTGATTGCTGTAGATGGGAACACTGTCATCTGGAAAAAGCCTAATGGGGATTCATGTCTCCCAAATCAAAATGAATTTGGGCTTGAATTGTGTGATGAATCGGATGACCCAAATCATGCATGGTAGTTGTCCTTTCAAGGCCTTCTTTTTTTTTTTTTTTTTTTTTTGATCTCTCCTTTTATTTTCTTTTTAGTTTACTAATAGAATGCTAGTTCATGGAAACACCATTATTTTGTTCATTTTTTGATTATATGTTGTAGCTGCTTTAAAAGGATTTAAATGATTGTGGTCTTAGTTTCTAATCTTAGCATTGTACCACTAATCAACAATATTGACTAAAGCTCATCTAAAGAACTTGTTGGATTTGGAATCTGAGCTCAAGTCTTTTGTAGGTACTTCAAGTTAAAGAAATGTGTTAGCAGGAAATTTTAAACTTGGTGTTGTAGGCTCATACCTTAGTAAATCTAAATCATTTATGTAAAATTCTGAATATTTCGTAGGTCTTAGTGTCTGGGATTGTAGTATTGCTGTACTTGGGAAATGTACATAGTCATAATTTTTGTTAAATTTTTTAGGAGAAATTACCCAACAGTGGGATTTTCAAAATAATTATTACATATGCATGAAAAACTTTATAAATTTAATTATTAATTTGTTTCCTCATTCTCACATATTGGGGATTCATGTCTCCCCCCCCCCCCCCCAAAAAAAAAAAAAAGAGATTTGGCGACTAAAAAATTGATCGGCAAATTCTACACTTTTGCGACTAAAATCATTAGTCGGCAATTCCGTACATTTTGGCGACTAAATTGTTAGTCGGCGATTCCTCGACTTTTGGCGATTAATTGTTTGGTCGTGGAATATGACAATTGGCAACTAAGATATTTAGTAGGGAAAATATCACTTTTCGCGACCAAAGTGTTTTAGCGACAAAATGGATTAGTCGCAGTAATGACTTATTTAGCGACCAAAAATTTAGTCGGCAAATCCAACTTTTCCCGACCAACAAAAATTTTGGTCGCGAATTACTATTGCCGACCCTCAATTGGCGACCAAAGTAGCGACCAAAAAAATTGGTCGCGGACAATTTTTGCCGACTAAAAATGGGCTTTTAGCGACCAATTTTTTGGTCGACAAATGTGTTATTTCTTGTAGTGTTTATGCATATATCTCAAGGTCAGTGTGAGGAATTTATTTTTCTTAATTCTTTATACCAATGGAATTTTACTTACTAGTAATAATTTCGAATTAATACTTGATGTGAAGATATTGTTGTTAATAAATTTTTAATATAAAATATCTTGATAAAGTATTTTATGTGTTGGCATTAAGATACTTAAAAATAACTTAGAAGATTATTTATCTCATCTCAAAGAGTATACCTAGATCACATTCTTACTAAATTTAATATGCAAAATTGAAAGCTTTACATTGCTTTGCTTAGTGATCGAGACTAATTAAATAACATTCAGTACTCATAAAATGATTTTGAGAAAAGAGTTCATGAGGAATGTCTCGTATGCTGTTGTTGTGAGTGCTTAATGAATTATGAATTATGAACTTTGAATTAAACTTGGTGCATATACAATTAGTTTTGTTAGGTTTTATTTCTTGGCAAACCCGTTTGACAAAACTCCTTTGAGTTGTAATTTTATTCGCATTTTTATTTCAGTGAGACTTTGAGTGTTTAGATGCGAATCCAACCCGAATCAAGCCTTTCAGAGAAGTTTGTGTTGATAAAGCTTTCAAGATTGCGAATGTCTCGTATGCTATTGTTGTGAGTGCTTAATGAATTGTGAATTATGAACTTTGAATTAAACTTGGTGCATATACAATTAGTTTATTAGGCAATTATTATTTTAATTTAAGCCTTGACCATTGCATTGGAGCATATAAAGATTTATTATGATATATGGTTTAAATTTTCTCCATGAAGAATAATAAAAGTTCTGATAGTGTTAAATATATAAATTTAAAGTATTTCAGAATTAGAGAGTTATTAAAGATAATATTATTTATGAGCACATGTTATACAATACATACTAGTTAATCCTCTAAATAAAGGGCTCAGACCAAATTTTAGTTTGCTACATATATTGGGCATATGGGTACTTTACAGTTTTTTGTGTTTGGTTAAAGAAATTTTTTACCCATGAATATTATCTATGGTGTATTTCAATTAATAAAATTTAATGTGTTTATTTACTCTTTTTTTTATAGTTATATGTGTGTACACATAAATGGTAACGGTTATATATGTATTCCTCTTATATGAGCTCTTACATTTATATTTTAATTTTGAGGCATAAAGATTAACACTTTGGTTTAGAAGTGTATATGGATCCAAAAAGTATGATGCTTGGTTTAAAGCATGAAAGAACTCGGTTTAAAAGTATAAAGGCTTCTTTCAGAAGTGAAAAAAGGAATGAGATTCCTTGCATAATCTTTTTGAGACCATACAGAGGATTGAATGTGGAATTATCATGTTATATAATTTTTTGATCAATTGTGCTGAAATTCCACACTATACTTTACCACATATAGGAAGAATCCATGTTGGTGAGACATTAGTATTTGTAATTGTGGAAGGTGTTATGTTGTTCAATAACAAGATTACTACGACAGCTCGATATTAATATTTCTCATAGAACGAGATTCTGTGCTGAGATGTTTCTATTTTGAATCATGTTCATGTGGCCACTAAAGTTTTTTAACTCGAGAGTCATTTTTTCTTAAATAAAATATTTTCTTAAATTAGTAGTAGGAATGGCAATGGGGGGCAATGTGATGGATATTAATTCCCCATCCCATTCCCCTATAATAAATTTTCCCCATTCCCCATTCCCCATGGGTACCACCCTCCCCATTTTTTAATGGGTATGGATTTTTCCCAACCCACTTTAATCCCCATTTTTTTTTTTTTTATTTAATGTTAAAAAAAACTTTTTTTTTTTTTTTTTTTAGGTTCACAAAAAGTTAAATATACTTTTAATCTTTTTTCTTTCTTTTTTAATATATTTAATGTTAACAACTTGATACAATGTGGACCTTCTTACCTAAAGATAAAACTATATGCTGATAATAAATACTTGATTCAAGCAGAATTTTCTTTGTAAGTCATCAATCGTGGAAAATTTTCTTTGTAAGGTGGTGAAACAATGTTTCCCTCAGCAGAGGTTGGTTTAAAATTCTTCCCGATTTCAGTTGAACATGACTAATAGTATTCCATTTTTTTTTTTTGGAACTCCAACCAACTACTCTTCTCAATATCCAGTAATTCACTTATCCTGAAATTTTGTTTGCTTATTCTTATTATCTCTCTTGTTAAAGTGAAAATAAAGTTTAATTATAAATATAAACATTGTATTACATAGCATACTTTCATTGATTTCCTTGATGATACGCTTGTGGATCTATTTGTCCTGTTTTAGATTGCTTATTGCATGAGCAATGACCTAAATATTAGATCTGGTAGCCTTCATATGATATTATCGTGGGAAGGGTTACGAACTTTGCAGTAAATTCCATTGAAAGCTGGCAATATAGTCAACATGAAACTCAGTAATAAGCTGTTTTGCTAGGTTAGTGAGTCGGAAAAATCTGAATTAAAGGGGGGTTAAGGGTGTAGATATCTAATGAAATTCTGATTCCATATATTCACCTCATGCTTTTCACACTCATATTTCTCCATCTATCACTGCACTCACATGGCATCAACGGTTGGGGCATCCATCTCCTTTAATGTTTCAGCATCTTACTAGATATCTTCCCACATTTCAGCATGATCAATTTCTTTATTCTACTGATTCTTGTAATAAAGTTCCACATTGTACACCTTGTGTTGTTGCTAAAATACACAGGTTGTCATTCAAATTGTCAAATACCCCTATAAATGCATCTCTTTCTCTAATTCATGGGGATAAATAAATTTAAAAAATTCTAGATATGCATAAAATTTGACAAGAATAATGTGACAATGTTAATTAATGTGTATTTGATTTTATTGTTGAGCCAAATAAAATAAAATAAGATTGAATGTATAGCTTTGGTTGTGAATCTTAAAAAAAAAAAAAAAAAAAATGGTTGTGAACCTGAAAAAATAAATAAATAAAAAAAAGAAAAAATATTTAATGTATATTTAGTTTTGGTTGTGAATCTTAAAAAAAAAAAAAAAAAAAATGGTTGTGAACCTGAAAAAATAAATAAATAAAAAAAAGAAAAAATATTTAATGTATATTTAGTTTTGGTTGTGAATCTTAAAAAAAAAAAAAAAAAAAATGGTTGTGAACCTGAAAAAATAAATAAATAAAAAAAAGAAAAAATATTTAATGTATATTTAGTTTTGGTTGTGAATCTTAAAAAAAAAAAAAAAAAAAATGGTTGTGAACCTGAAAAAATAAATAAATAAAAAAAAGAAAAAATATTTAATGTATATTTAGTTTTGGTTGTGAATCTTAAAAAAAAAAAAAAAAAAAATGGTTGTGAACCTGAAAAAATAAATAAATAAAAAAAAGAAAAAATATTTAATGTATATTTAGTTTTGGTTGTGAATCTTAAAAAAAAAAAAAAAAAAAATGGTTGTGAACCTGAAAAAATAAATAAATAAAAAAAAGAAAAAATATTTAATGTATATTTAGTTTTGGTTGTGAATCTTAAAAAAAAAAAAAAAAAAAATGGTTGTGAACCTGAAAAAATAAATAAATAAAAAAAAGAAAAAATATTTAATGTATATTTAGTTTTGGTTGTGAATCTTAAAAAAAAAAAAAAAAAAAATGGTTGTGAACCTGAAAAAATAAATAAATAAAAAAAAGAAAAAATATTTAATGTATATTTAGTTTTGGTTGTGAATCTTAAAAAAAAAAAAAAAAAAAAAAAAGATTGGAGGTATATTTAGCTTTGGTTGTGGATCTTAAAAAAAAAAAAAAAAAAATGGTTGTGAACCTGAAAAAATAAATAAATAAAAAAAAGAAAAAATATTTAATGTATATTTAGTTTTGGTTGTGAATCTTAAAAAAAAAAAAAAAAAAAAAACATATGGGGAATTTAGTGGGTACCCATCCCCTGTGGATATTTAAAGAATATCACTTACCTTACCCAATGGATAAGAAAAAGAGGAGAAAACCCATGTATTTGGGTTGGGTCTCCATGGATACCCACAGGGTAGGTTATCCATTGCCATCCCTAATTAGTAGTCGATGTTGCCTAAGTGGGAGAATGTAAGAATTTGTTCTAAATTAGGCTGTCATTGACTATATTTTGTTTGGTTTGTGAAAAACGGATTGAAAGTGATTCAGACTGATTAACTAGTATAAGTCCAAAATTATTATTGTGATCCATAAAGTTTTGGGTCATGGTCCATCTTAGTCTGTTTATCATTTTATATGTGGATATGTGGTATGGAGATGTAAGGCCTGTTTTAAGTTATTTAGGTT